ATTAAAATATTAATAATAACATCTTAACATGTTTAATTTTCTTTGTTGGCTACTAATTAACCCAAGTTAACTATTATTAACTTAAAACATAATATAATATATAATATATATGTTTAGCACATTTCGCTAATTTTTTATCCTTTTCTTTTATTAATTAATCAAGAGTTTTTCTTTTTTCTTTCGAACTACTATTCTTGCCTCTCTTTCTTTTGCAAAATTTCTCTTCAAGTTCTAGGCTATTAATTAGCTAACTAAATAACCTTTTATATTTTATGCTTTAAATAGGTTTTCTTCATCTTTTTTATTTGTTTCATTATTTAATTTTAATTTTATTCCTTTATAATTAATTATTGAAAATGTTAGAATTTATAATAATTTAAGAGCTTGTTGAATTAATATGTGTATTAGTAATATTATATGTATATGTATACGAATTAAAATGAGTTTTAATGAATTGATAAGTATTTTACTATAAATTTCATATTAAAAATAAATAACGATGAACTTACTAGTGATTAAAAATGAAGTATAGGACAACTCCAAAAATTTAGGACATAATAGAGAAATAAAAAAAAATTAATATTTATGTTTAACCCACCCGTAGAAAATAATAAGTCAACAATAACAATATTAATTTGTCATGACAATCCTTTAAGTTATGATTTTAGCTACTCTCTATCATATATCAGCATAAAATTATTGTCAAGAACTTCACTAGTTCTTAGAAGATTTAGAAAACACAAGCATTGAACCCACCCTAAACTAAAAATAGATGAATGATAGTTTGATTATATATATTAAGAAAAATATATGTGGTGAGATTGATAATAAAATTATTATAAAGTGGTTTTAAAATATAAAATTCAAAAAGAACAATTATAACATAAGTTTTTTTATTTGAAAGTATTTTTAAATTAATTTTTTTTTATATGAGTTAATGTATATATTTCAAAATGATTTTTTTAATATAATACATGTCTATATAATACATAAATCAAATACTTATTAATAATTTATTTTTTTATTTAAAAAATTCTTGCTCTGCCGTTTAAGATCTACATAAATAAATATACATTATCTATCTCTTTTAGAATAACAACTTAAGTGTGTGTTTATTAGCTATTGTCTATCAAGTTTCAAGAAAAAAGGTGATCATGAAATTTATAAGACATGTCTTGAATTGCAATTTTTTATACTATGAAAATAAACTCTACATGTGTGTGTATATACATATATAGTGATGGAGCCATAAATTTTTAAATAAAGAGGTCAATTATTAATAAATATTTGATATTATATATTATATAGATATGTGTTATATAAATAAATGTATCAACCTAAGTCAAGCAAATTAATTTAAGAACTTTTAAAATAAAAAAATTTACTACTTCGTAATGATTTTATTATTAATTTCATTAAAAATATCTTTCTCAATATATACAATAAACTTTTATTTATATATTTCTAAATCTTTCAAGGACTATGAAAATTTTTGACAATAATTTTATGCTGACATATGATACATAACATCTAAAATCACAGCTTAAAAAGATTGTTACAAATCATTGTTTTTGCTAACTTGTTGTTTTGTACCAATAGATTAAATATAAATATTAAATATTTTTGTTTTAATTTATCTATTATATCTTTAATTTTTTTAACTCTCTTGTACTTCACTTTTAATGATTATTAAATTCATCATCATCATTTTTTATATAAAATTTATAATAAAATACTTATTGATTCATTAAAATTTATTTTAATTTATATTCATTAATATATAATATTACTCATACGGATATTAATTCAACAAACCCATAAATTATTATAAACTTTAATATTTTCAATAACTAATTAGTAGAAAAAAAAAGCTAACAAGTAGCTAACAAAAAAATTATTTAAAAAAAAAATTAAGGGAGGAATTATCCTTTTTGCACCCATTTGGCTCCGCAACTCAGGATGCCCTAGTGTTTTGAAAACTGATTAATCTTTTGACCAAAATAATGATGCGAAGATTAGCATTAAAATATATTCCCATTGCTCAAAATGCAACTCTCCCATAAGCTAAGAAGGGGACATTCTTGACGTAAAGAAGGACCTTTAATTAACAACTGTGAATCATAGTTAAAAAATGTAATCATCACCTTAAACCATGGTTTATGTCGAAGAACATTGGGATTGCAGCGACCAGTCTCTTATTCTGCAACGTGCGCTGTCTCGTAATCAGAACAATTTCAATTATTTTAGGGGGAAGGAGACGGTGGCGCCATTGATGCTTTGCTTTGAGATTGACAAATCAAGATAATGGGGGCCTAATCGCCAATATAATACTGCAAGATTTACATCACAATTCTCAAAGATGGCGAGTCAAATGGGGCTGGAATTGATTCATTCGCTGGACACCAACACATGGGAGTGTCAAGTGGTTCATTCACCATTCATCAAGGCACACGGAGATTCTCAATTATGAGAGATCTAAAGCCCACTCCACTCAACATTTTGTGGTGGCACCATGTGTGTCAAAGTGTCGGTTGGATGGCCAGAAAGATGGGCATAAACTTCTATTATTTAGATTAGATGGAGAGGTGCCTTTTTTTTTTAAAAAAAAAACGAGTAAGTTTAAATATATTTTAATTAATTTTTTGAGATTTTAAAATTAAATTTTAATGAATGGAAAAGCTTTTAATTATTTTAAATTTTATAATATTCAAACTAATAAATTTTAAAAAATAAATTCAACATCTCATTAGATCCTCGCATTAGAAGAAGGAGAGGCTTGTAAGCGAAGCTCGAAGCTAGAGATTTTCCTTCTCAAACACCCCCACATCAACGTGTGACCGATGTTGTCCTTGTAGAATATATTCAAGCCCCACTCACAAGATATTATGATAATAACACTATTATTGTTGATTCTTGGCCACCAAAATATAATAAGTAATGCTTATGCTGGAAGCTCAATTGGCCTTGAAAGGTGCGCACTTGAGCATGAGGGGAGAAAATTAATGGTATCAGAATAAAAATTGGAGTATAATAGCCCACTATAATGTACACCACAAAAAATAATAATAAAAATGTTGTTATTATTATTATTCTATCTAGCTCTAGGTAATATCTTAAAAAAGAAATGCTAGGAAAAGCTAAAAACATCAATTCGGACGTGCATGACTTACAGATAATCTACAAAAAGATTAATGCTTATACCGTTAAAAATCAAAACATTAATGTTCATTTTTTTTAATATTTATTGGGTTCTTGTTTTCTCCTGAACCACCAGCATTTACCGTATAAAACCTCCAGTGTACAATTACAATATTCTGTAGAAGCCATGGTTAGTCTCCAAGTTGGGAAATGTTTTATAAAATCATCTCAACTTTGGTAATTTAAATTATTAGAATAGATTTTAAAATATAATTTATATTATTTTTTAATATATTTTTTCAAGTAAAAACTTTTTAAATTTAAAATTTATATAGATGTATTTTACCTTGTGCTTAATTTTTATCAAATAAATAAAGATATTAAGATTCAAACTCGTAATCACTTGATTCATGACCAGTTAGTCATTAAGGCTTTGATACCATGTTAAGGAACCATCTTAACCTAATAACTTAAATTGTTAAGTATGTTTAATGTTTTCTTAAATAAATGAGGATGATGAGATTCGAATTCATAATCACTTGGTTATTAAGACTTTAATACTATGTCAAAAAATCATCTTAACCCTATAACTTAAACTTTTAAGTAAAGTTTCAGGATATGATTTATATTATTCTATAATAGAACTATCTTAACTCAATAACTTAAGCACTTAGGTAAGGTTTGAAGGTATGATTTATATTATTCTCTAACATACCTCCTCAAATGAAAGATTTTTGGATTTGAAACTTGTATAATTTTATATTATTCTTGCTTGATTTTTATTAAATAAATGAAGGTGATGAGATTCGAATTTATAATTATTTAATTATTAAAATTTTGATATTATGTTAAAGAATATTTTAATTTAATAATTTAAGTTAATAGATTAAGTGAATAATCTCTAAAATGGAAAATGGAGTTCACTACCTTAAATTGCTGCCGATGTCATAAGGCTTGTAGCTCTCATCATGTAGCCACGGCGGGAGTTAGGTACAAACCATACACATTATCTCATTTTTATATTGATCCACGATGTACAGGAAGGAGAAGCTTTATGTATCAGATTTCGAAATTCCAGTTCTCCGAAAAATAAAAAAAGAAGAAGAAAGGTTTCTGCACTGCATGTGTTCTTATTTCTGCTTTTGTGATCAGACACATGGAACACAGTCGATGCAAGAACTAAGCTAAATATAAAAATATAACATTCTGAAAGGGACAAGAAATTAAGGGGAGACCTTATGCATGAAAACATAATGTTGTTAATTAAAGCAACATTACTGCAACGGATGCATGGAACCGGCCTTTTTTTTTTCTTTATCTTTTTACTTGGCATGCCTGGACACCATTGGCAACATTTTTGAAACGATATTTTTTAAAATTTGTTTATTTTTTAAAATTTATTTTTTTATACTTTTGAGTTGTTTTGAATGATAGTAATAAAAATAATTTTTTTAAAATAAAAAATATTATTTTAATATATATTTTTTTAAAAAAATACTCTTAAAAATAGTTGTTATCTCATTCTCAAGCACTTTCTATTAAAAAATAATATAAATCATATCTTAAGATCTCATCTAATAACTTAAATTTTTTTGGTTAGATTAGTTTTTTGACATGATATCAGAACCTTGATAACTAAGTAGTCACGAGTTTGAATCTGACCATTTCTATTTATTTGATACAAATTAAGTATAATATAACATGAATCTATGCAAATTTCAAATTAAAAAAACTTTCATTTGAAGAAATATATGCTAAAAAATAATATAAATTATATTTTAATACCTCATTTAATAATTTAAAATTTAAAATTATACTTTATAAGTTTTATTATGCAAGATAGTAGATGCACATGAGCAGATGATTAGTAGACCGACTAAGAAGCTTCCCTTTAGGGATGCCCTCTTTACATTCCCTATTTAAAGACACTCTTTAAATTGAGCGAATATTGTGATTAATTCATCCAATCCTCTGTTTCCCTAGTTTCTGCCTTATTATTCCCTAGTTTCTTCTACTACACAATCATGGCATCTTTGCTACCTGAAAATATAAGCATCAAAACTGGTGATGATGACTTAAAAGGAATTGAAGGGTTTGATGATGATGCCCTTCTCATGTCTTTGCTAGAAGAGTCGCAAGGAGATCATGAGAGCAATGAAGAAAGATTAAGGAGTGTGATCCAATCTCTTGAAGCAGAGATCAACCCAAGTATAATGTCGGACGGCTATGAAACAGCCATGGATCCAGCTGAGATGCCTCGTGACGGAGAGGATACTGATGAATTGCCCAAGACGGCAGAAATGGAGTCACTTGGTCTTGACTTCGAACTGGTTGATATGGAGGTCGTGCCTTCTTCGCCTGGGGATCATGACATGAATTATTGGTACATGGAACCTTCAGAGAATGATATCGTTGAGTTTGGTGTTACGAACTACTTTCAATTTGGTCATGAAGCCGCCATGGAGGAGCATGGCTATAGCTCGTTGTGGCAAGAATCATATGACATTGCACCGAGGGGCTTGGCCTAGCGGTGACAGGGGTTTATTTTCTTCTATTGTATATGGATTCGAGTTCTGGTGTGCACGTCTGTCACCCCCGCGATGGCCTACTAGGTTTGCAGGGTATTCAGTGGGCCGTGAAAATTAGTTGTGGTACGCGCAAGCTTACCCGAATACTTCACATAAATCAAAAAATAAAATAAAATAATATGACATAACGATGTACAATTAACTTGTGATTTCTCTCCTTTCTTTTTATCTTTCGAATCTTTCCGTGACATCTCTAAAAGTTGTAGACTAGGCATGGCCGCAGCGTATTTTTTCCTTAAAAAGATGATGCTTAGGTGATCGAACGGTCCATAGTTTTCATAGAAAATGATACCTAGACGATCCAAACATATTTTAAAGAAATTTGAGAAATTAATGATTGGAGTTATAACACCGACTTAGATTAGCAAGTTAATTTTATTTTAGATAATTATATTAATTGAATTTTTTTTTAATATCTTGATACGTTAAAAAATTAAAAAAAAAACATTAAAATAAATTAAAAAAATAAACTGGATCCACAAACATGGAAGAACATGATTCGAAAAAGATTAACTACACAAAAATATTTAAAATAAAAAATAATAATTAAATGATTGAGCAAATTGAAAAGCATAATATATTATAAATTGAAATTGTATAATAAATCATAAATTGAAATTGAAGGACTAAAATAAAAAAAAATAAAACTCTTATTAAAGACTCAAGGACAAAAATAAGAAATAAAAAAAAAGTCCAAAGCACAAACACCAAATACAAAGAAGACCAATTTGTAATTTTTATGGGAGAAGAGAAAAAAAAGAAAAAGATCCTCCGGTGATAAACCACCTAGTCGTTTATGACACGTGTAGCACCAAATAAAAAGGATGTGACGACGTATCTAACTACATGGCGGTTGGGTAACTTGAACCACCAAGAGGTGCTATATGCGCTCCCTAAAATGTGTAGGCGTCTCTGACGCGCAGACTTATGTTAATCATGTACTCACATTTTTTTTAAATTAATTATTATTTTATTATGGTTAAATACAATAATTCGCTTGACAAAAAATGAAAAATAACAATAAAAAAAACCAACTTGAAAATACATTAATAACCCTTGACTAAAAAATTTGATTTAAAGGGCATTTTATTTAGTAATTCACTTGTACACTAAAATTAAAAACACTGATAATACTATAAAAACAAAGACTTATAATTTTTTTATCCAAGGTCATTTGAGTATTTTTACTATTTATATATAAAAAAAGAACCATAGTACCCTCCTAAACAAGGCTACATTTGATTAGATTGAGGGGAAAAACAATTATTTAATATTGTATTAGTATACCTAGTTATTTGAAGGATATAACACGGCGAGGCTTTGGAAAGCCCATTTAATATTTAACAATTCAAGTTGTGTGTATTATTTTGCCTTACCTATATTTGTTATCGAACATAAACTTATATATTCAAGAATGAAATTGAATTAATTAAGAATATTAGGATAAATTAAATAATTATTGTATTATATAAAGATAATTTGAGTTATTAGTCCTTAATTATTAATAGTTCCACACAACATATATATGAGAATAGATAATTCCATATTTGGTTTAAAAAGAGTTTAGTCAAGTTTGATATTGTTGCTTAAATATTATTTTAAAAATGTTTTTTACTTGAATATATATTAAAATAATAATAAAAATATTATACAAACAAATAGTTTCATATTTGTTTTTTATTTTTATTTTAGTATATCAAAATAATAAAAAATAAAAAAATAATAATCAGAAACCTAGGCCACTTGCCAGGTACACCAAAAAGATGTGTTCCAAGTGAAGGAGTCATGGAGAAACTATTCAACATAACCTAAA